CGGCAATAAATTTGACGTGATGCCCCTCGAGACCGTGATGCACTCACATGGACCGCTACCTGACGTTCCTCGCGAGTTCGAACCTCGCGTGTCACATCCACCTCCCCCCCCTATTTTTTTCTCATCTTCTTTTTCCTTATGCATACAGCACGTAGTTCGCTGTCTCGTTTTTTTTTTCTCGTCTTCATTGTTTTTCAGTCTTTTTCTTTGAGTCTTTCTCTCGCATGCATGTGTTTTTGCTTTTATCCGTTCCCGTGAATGCTGTTGAATGCACTTTCCGATTACGTATGCGGCCGCTTTGTATGCCATGGGACTTGTCGATACCATCAGTGGGGACTTGTCAATACCATCCGTGGAGACGATTGCTTACGTGAGTGGGCATATTATCGTCGATTCCTTCAGCTATAGGGCCCTCTGTGCGCGGCACAGACAAGATTGTACCGGCAAGTAGTCCCTAGTAAGCCGGGGGAAACAGAAAACAAGGCACCTGCCTCATGTGCATAATCGTGACAGCATCATGCCCTACTGCCGCGGGTCGATTGGTTATGTCCGATGCCGCAGGGTTCCTCCACCCCGTGCAGTACAATGGCTGCTATCAACCGCGACAAGTCAGCGTGCGACCATACAACAGGCCCCGCTCTTTCTTTTTGCCGTTGAATTTTTTCTTCAGAGAGAGTACATCTGGTTGGGACGAACCGCATTTTTTTTCTTCAGCGAGAGTACGTCTCGGTTGGGATGAACCGCATCCCATGTTTGGGAAGGGACCTATCTGAGCGGCGCGGCGAGCGAGACTGCGTTGGCTTGCCGCCGCTTATCTTACTGCACCCTCCCCCCTCGTGCTAAATGCACGCAGCGGTGAGGTCACAAGAGTAGCGGGACGCGAATAGGAACACGGCCGACACGATGGATGTTGGACACGAGTACACACCTTTATATGGAGAGTCGCGTGCTGGTCACTTCCCCAATGCTTGCGCCGTGTCCCGTCCCGCCCTTTTCTAAACTGCCGCCGCTACTGCGTTAGGCGGCTGCTGCTGTCCTTCCGTTGCTTCACGCGCTCTGTAGCTGTCACACGTTACCCGACTTTGCTACAGCCCCTGCGTGGACTCGATCACGGAATGACACCCCCAACTATAGACTAATAATTCCAAACACCGTGACCCTGGGTTTCCGGTAGAAAATGAAGCCAAATTCTAATTCGACTGTTACAAAATAAACACCAGTTTATTCTATCTGCTTCGACGAACAAACCTTCCTGTTCATCGACACCGCCGCTTCGGGACACATGGTAAGCGGCGAGAGCCCAGTCTCACAACATGTAGTCGACTTGGTTGACTGCGACGTCCGCATCAAGGGTTCGTGCGGCACATCCAGCGCCACCAAGAAAGGTACGCTGAAGTTCAAACTCAAGAATGACAAAGGTCAACCCGTCCCGATAGAATTGGAGGTTCTGCTTGTGCGGGACCTTGGAGCAAACATATTTTCTGTCGGAGCGTTGGATGAGAAGGGGGTGAAGACGGATCTACTCTCGGCACCTCCAGCCCTGCGAAGCCGGAACCTGTCTTTCCCCATATCAACAGCAGAGGTGCCTCGAATGTACGTCGTGAATCTCATCCTGGACGACCTGAATCTCGACCTGCCTAGTTCTCCGCTGGTTTTCCGTGCCGATACCGATGCCGGTGTCTGGCACCGGAGGATGGGACATTGCAATGCGCGCGCCCTGAAGCAGCTCTCGGATAAGGAAGGCACCGGCATCAAGTTCATCACCAACATTCAACCAGGTGACTGCGAAGTGTGCGATGTATCTAAAAGCAAGAAGGCGAGTCACCCCCCGGTTGGCCGCGCCCGTTCACTGACGCGAATGATGCTTATGCATCTCGACCTGTGGGGGAAACATGGTGTGCCATCGTATAGCGGATGTCAGCATATCGCAATGTTCACCGACGATAAATCTCGCATGCGGTGGGGCATTCCCCTGAAGACAAAGGATGAAGTGACTGACGCGTTCGAAACACTGATTAAAGAAGTCGCCGATCCCGAGGGCATCTGCATCGGGAAAATCCATTGCGATGGCGCAGCCGACTTCAAGGGTAGGTTCTTAGCAATGTGTCGGTCCTTCGGGATCGCTGTGGAGACAAGCCCCCCGTACGTCCCTCAAGGGAATGCTGTCGCCGAACGCGGTTTCGGGACCGTCATCGGTGCAGCACGTAGTCTCATGCTTGGAGCTCCGCACCTACCGCGTCAACTGTGGGCGGAAGCCGTGAAGGCCGCCATTTACATCAAGAACCGAACACCTACTGACGTCCTGGACGGCAAAGCACCACTTGAGGTTTGGGAGGACAAACCACTCGGCAGCTTGAAGCACATGCATGAGTGGGGGTCTGTAGCGTTTAAACACGTAGAAGCTCGCTCGCGAAACGATAAGTTTTCTGCCAGGGCCAAGAAGTATTACATGGTGGGATACAATACAACCAGCAAGACGTGGCGGCTATGGGACCCGGCGGAACCACTCAAAATTACAAACTCTGCCGAAGTGTCATTCCGCGAGGTAGATGCCCGCGACGTCGCTCGCCCCATGCACGGGTCTGACCCTTTTCCCGAACAAGGCCAGATTTTCCAGCCCGGCATCATCACTGGGGCCGAGACAAAAGACGAGGAACGAGAACTGGCAGAAACGAACGACGGACCGGACGAAGAACCGCCCGCGGTGCGCAAAAGCGGTCGTACGACAAGGCCGCGGGACCGTCTGAACCTGTTTACGACGGAGCAGGTGTTCGAAACGGAATACGCGCTGGTGATCGGAGGTGAGATCGGGAACCTTGGTCAAGGGATACCTGGCCAACTAGGATACATGCCCGCCGATCCACCGAACTAAAGCGCAGCGGTCAACGGACCAGATGCTGTTGGATGGATGAAAAGCATGGAGGAGGAGAATCGCTCCTTGCTAGACCACGACGTTTATGAGTGGGTCGATCCCCCGTGCGATGCTCAAATCATCCCGTCAAAATACATCTACAAATGGAAGTACAACGAGGCCGGCATCGCTGTGCGACAGAAATCGACAATCGTAGTGCAAGGATTGCACGAAGCTGAGACCGGAACAGACAATACTGCACCGGTAGCGTCTCTCCAAGCCGTCCATCTGATAGTTGCGCATGCTGCCAAGAATGGACTTGTTCTTCGCCAAGCCGACATCAGGACGGCGTTCCTCCACGCGAGGATGGAACCGAGGTCGAAACCAGTGTACGTCATTCCCCCGGAAGGATTCTCGTGCGACAGCGGGAGAGCCAGGCAAGTCTGGAAGCTCAAAGCATGGCTTTACGGGTTGCGTTTTTCCCCAAAAGGCTGGTGGGGCACTCTGCACGACTTTCTCCTGAAGATCGGATTTGTTGAGAGCACCGCTGAACCGTGCTTGTACATCCTGGACGACGGAGATGTGCTCCTTCTCGTTTATGTGGATGACATTCTGCTGACCGGGGAGGGCAAGAACAAAGTGCTGAGCATAGTCGATCAGCTGAATGAGCGTTTCGAAACGGTGGACCTGGGAGGAGCCAGATTCCTACTCGGTATGGGAATCAGCCGAGACAGAGCCGCAGGGACAATTCTTTTAGAACAGGAAGCGTATACCAACGCAGTGTTGGACAAGTTCGGCATGGCCGACGCGCGTCCGACGACATCTCCGTCTGAGGCTGGACCGGTGTCCGTCTTGGAGGACGAGGTGCTGTCAGCGGAGGATACCACATATTTCCGCTCCGCCACAGGCTCGCTTCTATATCTCAGCAGGTGCACAAGGCCCGACATTACTCACTCCGTGATGGTTCTGACGCGGAGTATGGCGAAACCAGGTCCGAGGGCGATGCAGAAACTCAAACGCGTACTCAGGTACCTGAAAGGTACGATATCAATCGGTGTACGCTACGGCGAGGACGCCGGAGATGGAAACGTCATTACGGCGTTTGTCGACTCAGATTTTGCAGGCGACCTAGACAAGGGCTACTCCACCACGGGAGTCGCGTTGTACTTCGCTGGTGGACCGGTGGAATGGACATCATCCAAGCAGACGGTGGTGGCGACCTCTTCCGTTGAAGCAGAGTTCGTGGTTTTGTCGAAGGGGTGCAACATCATCAAGTACTTCCGCCACCTGCTGGACACCATAAATCAGACTCAGGAAGAAGCAACCGTGGTGTGGGAGGACAACTCAGGAGCTCTAAAATTAACTCGCAGCTTCCGTATCACCCCAAGGACGAAGCACATTGACGTAAAGTTTCACCACGTAAGGTCGCTGGTAGCTGATGGAGTCGTAGACGTGAAGCAAATATCGACGTCGCTTCAGAAAGCGGACATTTTTACGAAAGGGCTAAACCCGTCGGAGTTTCTCCGCGCCCGTGGCATGCTGTTAGGAGTTTGATCACCTCCCCTCTTCGTAATCAGACTTTATGTCTTGAGGGTTGGATAGTGTATGTATGTGTGTGTACATGTTAGAAGAAAATTCGGGAGATTTGTGTCGAAGGAAAATAAATCGCTGCTGATGCAACGCAGCTGAGAAAGGCAAAACCATTGATATTGAGTCAGAAGTTCTTAAGATAGCATTGTTTCGAGAGGACATGGATATTGTTTTCGAGAGGACATTGAGAGAGAATTGGATCTGATGCATTGTTACTAGAATGACGTAGTTCTTGAGAGGACATGTTGGAGTAATTGCGGTACAAGAACGACTCTATTCTACTGCATGGGTTTATGCGGTATTGTGAAGGCGTTGCCAAGTCTGTAACCGTCAGGTGAAGACAGCTTGGGCGTCTGTGTGGATAATAATATCACTCTGTGTGTTTGCCTACCTAACCTCGCATCACATGCCAGCTACTTTGTAGTCACAGCTGAAGGAATAGCTGTACAGCAACTGCAGTGACAGTGTTGTTGCCTCAACAAGAAGTAAGGCCTCGAGTGAACATGTCTCGACCTTCCTCCCAACTGTGGCCCCGTTCCATTCGTCGCATTCAACTCAGATCGACACAGACAAGTGTGTACCCCAATCAGATGCACAAGTTCGGCATAAACGGGGTGCCAACCGTGGTCCTCTTCAAGGAGGGCAATGAGATAACGCGAACGGAGGGCGTTGTGCCATACAGCAACTCCGATATTGCCTGGGTGGGGGCGGCGTTGGCCAGGGAAGGGACGGTTGCGCCCCACCTCCCCCGCCGCGGCCGCCCCAAGATGCCTGCACGACCCCCCCTGCGGGATGCGGGCACCCTGCCACTCCTCTTTTTGAGTGCCTAGGTGATGGGAGGTAGAACTGTCCCGTTGGGGCTGCAACGATGAGGGCGAGAGGCGTTTTTGTTTTTTTTTCCCGTAAACTCGGACATCGCTGTTGGGCAGAAGGCACTTCAGAGGGTGGTATGTGTTTCTGGCAGCGAGAGATCCGCGAAAACAACGGAGAAGATGGGTGCTTGATCCCGTCGTTTTGCTTTGTGATGAATAGCGTTGTTACAGTAGTTTGCAGCACCTTCGTGCTTGCAGATCGAGCAACGTTCCGTGGGTAATAATCGTGAAACGTCGAGGGCTTTGCCTCCACAAGCACCGTGTGAGTTGTGGCGCCATGTTCTGCATCTTGAGGCGTGCGAGCTGTGGATGGGCATTGATGACAAGTGTAATTTTATGTGGTTCGATTGAGGACCTTGTTTGCGGGCAGGAGGAGGAGCGAGAATGGGGCTCACAATGAGTCGTTTACTGCATGGTACCTGTTCGTTCGTACTATTTTCGCAGTCGGTACTCGAAAGGAACCGAATTGTTCGTGAGCGGACATGAGGCGATCGTGTTCTATGTCGCCGGTGGTGGTTCATTCATTTGTACTCGTTAACCGTTGGCCAATGGAAACGTGGGTTTATTTTCGTGTGTTGTACTATCATCCCATGCCATTCGCTCTGAACGTCAGCTCTACACCTTTCGATGTAGTTTCTACGCGCTAGCCTGGGTCACACAACGCACCGAGTCTTGGAATATTCGTGTCATCTTGAGGACACAAGTTCCCCTGTGCTCATCCAAGCACAAATTCAACACATCGTCATCCACACCGATGTGTTCGGAATACAATATTGGGAAGCTGAGACAAAAGTTACAGGCAGAGATGAATGCAACACCATGCTTATCGTTTGGGCCACACGTATTCAAGATGTGATACTATTGTAGGAACCCTACTTGTTTTCCTACTCTGGGGCTTGGCCAACCGCAGAATAGGGCTTCAGCGACTGGTCTACTTGTATCTCGGTGGCTGAGCCAATACAGATCCATATTTGCTGACGTATACAATTGTGAGGCAATTGCAAGGGCACACAATTCTGGACGTTCTACATATGTACTGAATAAAGACAGGCTGCAGCCTACCTTACACCTTATTCCCATAGTGCCAATGCTGTGCACAACGGCCACGTATTACACCAGGCCCACGCGCCTCTCCTATACGTTGCTTTGAAATGAAGGCATGCCTACGCTATAATGTCTTACTTCGGTCAACCCTTGTCGTACAAGATACAACCGGTGGTGTTGGTCGCCAATAGGAAACCGACGCCCCACATGATGCCGACATAGACTACCCCATCCAACCCCCCCCAAATCACGACACCGACTGACCACACCATGCACCAAAGGATGCCACCGACGCCCGTACATACCACCGCCCTCATGCCAGTGGTGCTTCGCTCGAAGCACCCAAAGCTAGCAAAGCTGAAGCCAGCCGCCAAGGCTCCCGCAAGTCCAAACACGCCCGCCAAGCCAATAGACAAGCCCAAGTCGCACCAGCCCCTTGTCGAATTGCAACTACTCAGACCTATCTCTTCGCACTCCCAGTAGGAACTGGCGGGAATGCGAGAGACGGGCAGGGGAGGGAGGGGGGGGGGGGGGGGGGGGGGGGGGGGT